CTTTGCGAGCTCGTCCTTTCTGCTTGTACTGTTCATAGCGCGTACAATGTTATGCCGAAGCGCACATTTTGCGAGTACCTGCAAATGCTTCAAGCGAAAATTGCGAAAGCAAACAAACACACAAACATACCATTCACACGCAAATGCATTCGCACACGCATACTCGTACAAACAGACGGCAGGATGTCGTGCAATGTGAATTTGCACCCAACAATTCCCTAGTGCGCGCGGCTTTTGAACTTCCCGATGGTTGATGTTGGCGGTCGGTATTGAACCATGCAGCCCCAGACGCGGAGCATGGAGGTGCCCCCCTTTCTTCCCGTCCATTTCACGTGCGGCGAGGAGTTGCCGGTGATTGCGGTGGTTGACAGCAGGTTGTGCACCCGCACGGCGTGGTGCATTGCGTAGGTCCAGTAGATCGGCAGGAGCTTTGCTTGCCCCATTAGCACTCGTACCTTTGTCATGAGAGTGCGATTCGTGCGCTCCGCTACGCCCTGCTGCTGGTGCGCGTAGGGGAGGGAGATGTGATCCTCGATCCCCTTTTGCGCGAGGTAATCCTGCAGTTCCTTGCTCCTGAACTACGCCGCACCACCGGATTGCCAGATCTTCAATTTCTCCCCAGATTGCCGCTGTGCGTGCGCCAGCCACAGACGGAATGCTTCGTAGGCTCTGCTACGCGCTTCCATGTTTACGACCGACACGTGGCGCGTTCCGGCGTCGACGAAGGTGAGTGTGTAGAGTTCGTCGTTGATGCCGTAGTGTCCTACGTTGAGAAATTCACTGTAAACCTTCTCAAGCTTGGCGTAGCAATTGTTTCCTGGCTTGAGTAGGGGGAAGGGCTGGTGACTCAGCGCAGCTTCGGGGCAGACAGTGCAGCTGCACGGGTGAGTCTCTCCTCTCACTTCGGAGCCGTCATGGCGCAACAGCGCGCCAGGTGCAAAGACGCCGGCTTCGATTGTTAAAATGAACGAACAGGAATCGAATGAACTAAGAGTGAAAACAGTACAAGTACCTAACCCTAGAATTGTGTACCCCCTATAGGCTAACCCACTGTAGCCTAAACTAACACAACATATATATAATGTTAGACACACCCACATAGGCGAAGTGGGGGAGAACTAGGGGTCACAAGACCAATCAAGGCAAAGCAAGGCAAAACAAGCTCAGGGTGGATCTCAAGGATACCACACAAATTCCGAGCACAAGGAAGTGGTCACAAGACCAGTTCACATGCAGGTTTATAATAGAGCAAGAGGTACAATGATCACAACCTAGCAAGAGTAAACATGCAGGTATATATATATATAGAGATCATAGTACAAACAGACTCAAGAAGTAAGCAAGTGAGGTCCAGTAGGCACAAGGCCTAGAAGAGTGCAAAAGCGCTGATGGTCACAAGGCTGAAGCGCCTTGGTGAACACATCAGCAGTGTTGGCCTCAGAGGCCACGTAACGCAGACGAAGCTGACCACGTTGCTGCAGCTCTCGAGCAAGAAAGTAGCGCAGAGCAATTTGCTTCGTTCTGTGCTCCAATCTGTGCTCCTCACACAAGGCAATGGCTGCCTTGTTGTCGACGTACAGCACTGGAGGAGAACGAGGCCGCTCTCCAAGGTCGGTCAGCAAGTAGGTGAGCCAGCGTAGCTCCTGGGCCGCCATGGCTATGGCGTAGATCTCAGCCTCACAACTGGAGCTAAGAACACAAGAAGAGCGAGTAGAACGCCAAGAAACGGAACCAGAGCCAAGACTGAAAGTGTAACCCCGAGACGACCCCTGAGTAGCCTGGTCGTCTGCCCAAGAAGCATCTGAGTGCCCAGTGAGAACAACTGGGACTCGCCCTCCAAGCACTAGCCCCATGCCGGACGTACTACACAAGTAGCGTAACACTCTCTTAGCTGCATCCATGTGCTCCTTCAGGTGACGGTCGGGAGCGACATAGCGTGCAAGAATGCTAAGAGGGTATGCAAGGTCAGGTCGAGTGCAGGTCATCAGGTAGCTGAGGCAACCCACAAGCTCTAGATACGGGCCACTCGACTCTACGGACTCATCTGAAGGCAGAGCTGAGAGCGAGTGACCGGTAGGTGAGGAGTGGGCTGAGGCGAGGAGTACGTGAAGCGGAAGCGCTGAAGGACCTGCTACACCATGTGTGACTGAGTCAAGGTGATGGTGCGGCGTGCTCTGTCCTGGGTGATCCGCAAGCCAAGATAGCTTGTCAGTTCACCCAGGTCTGTGCACGTATGTCTCTTTTGCAGCTCGGAATTCACGTGGGCGAGTGCCACAGTGTCAGCAGTGGCAAAGACCAAGTCGTCGACATACACGAGGATGTAGAACGGCGGTAGTGAGGTGTCGGTGCGTAGAAACAGCCACGGGTCAGCAATAGAAGGCGCGAACCCAGGAGCCGCAATTGTAGTCCTCAGTGTGTCGTGCCACTCACGTGGCGCCTGGCGGAGACCGTAGACTGGCCGTCGGAGGCTCCACTGGGTACCAGGAGGGAACGACCTAGTGAAGCCAGGTGGACGGTGCAGCCAGATCTCCTCGTTCAGACTCCGCTGTAGGAAAGCAGTGCTGAAGTCAAGAGAGTGGAGCTCGTAGTCACGCTGAGCGGCGACTTGCAGCAAAACCCGAAGAGTGGTCATCTTCGGGTCGGGGAGAAGGTGTGGAAGAAGTCAACTCCCTCTCGCTGACTGAAGCCTCATGCAACGTAACGCGCCTTGAAGACAGGCGGGGAGCCCGGCGGCCGCTTCACCCTGAAAATCCACATGCCACTGACGATGTTCGCCCCAGGCGGGGGAAACCTCGTCGACGTAGGTGCCTGTGGACTTCCAGGAAGCCATCTCTGTGTCCATGGCCGACTGCCACTGAGAGGAGTAGGGACCGGCCATCGCCTCTGCGTAAGAGCGTGGGGTCAGGATGTTCGGTGCATCCAGGTCTCCCTCAGGGGCAACAAGCATGGACACGAGATGGGGCAAAGCGGCAGCAAAGCACTCAAACTCCTCTTGCCTGTCCTCAAGGACGTCAGTGCCAAGAGCACACTCACCCCCGACGGACGGAGGACAGACATACTCAGACTCAGCAATCAGGCTAGCGGCGTAGTCTAGACGACAGGTGGCAGCAAAGTCAACAAGCTCAGTAACTAGGGCAGACGCAGCAGCGGAATCAAAGGAAGGGTTAGTGACAACAGTAGCCAGGAGACGCGTGACAGTGGGACTGGCAGCACAAAGGGAGTCTGACCCCGGGTCAGCAAGAGCAGGAAGAGAGGACGCAGGAGGAGACGGCAGTGGGACACGTTGTGGAGCTGTGGAAGGACGAAGCGTCATCCGGTGAGTGCCTGGGACAGCAGGAAGACACTGACGCGGGACACGACTACCAGGGAGAGCAGCACGGACTGGCGACGCACGACGAGGCTCAGGCGACGTTGGACGAGACTCGGGCTCACGACGCTCAGTAAGACCTCCAGTCGGACCAGTGTAAGGAGCAGGACCAGGGAGAGAGGAGGAAGACGGTAGCTGCGACTGCAGCTGGACAGGCGGAGGACATCCTAAGGAGGGAGGAGGACACGGAGGAGGGAGCGGACCAAGAACCTGATGAAGGAGCGGAATGAAGTACGGCCGCGGCCGCGCAGCGACTCTAGAACCCGCAGAGACACCAGCGCCAGGGTCCTCAGCACCAGCAGCAGCTCCAACCCCCGGGTCCACAGCACCAGCAGCAGCACCAACAGCAGGGTCCTCAGCACCAACGCCCGTGTCCCCAGCTCCAGCAGCAGCTCCAACGCCCGGGTCTGCAGCACTAGTAGCAGCTCCAACGTCCGGGTCCGCATCACCAGCAGAAGCGCCAACGCCTGGATCCTCAGCACCAGCAGCAGCTCCAACACCTGGGTCCTCAGCACCAGCAGCAGCACCAACGCCCGGGTCCGCAGTACCAGAAGTAGCTCCAACCTCTGGGGCCGCAGCACCAGCAGCACGAGTAGAGCCTCCAGCACCAGCAGCACCACCAGCAGCAGCGGGGTCCGCGACACGAGGCGCGCCACTCCGAAGAGTGCAGCGCCGCTCGTACCACTCACGGATCCGCTCACGGGAGGGGAGCTCCTGCAGGGAGAGAGGAGGCAGACGGCAGGTGCGGCTGCAGCTGGACAGACGGAGGACATCCTAAGGAGGGAGGAGGACAAGGAGGAGGGAGCTGACCAAGAACCTGCTTAAGGAGCGGAACGAAGTACGACCGCGACCGTGCAGCGACTTCAGAACAAGCAGAGACACAAGCGCCAAGGTCCTCAGCGCCAGCCGCAGCTCCAACGCCCGGGTCCGCAATACCGGAAGCAGCTCCAACCTCTGAGGCCGCAGCACCAGCAGCACCACCAGAGTCTCCAGCACCAGTAGCACCATCAGCAGCAGCGGGGTCCGCGACACCAGACGCGGCACTCCGAAGAGTGCAGCGCCGCTCGTACCACTCGCGGATCCGCTCACGGGAGGGGAGGTCCCGACTAGGAGGAGAAGCACTAGCACCAGTCCCATTAGTACGCCTGGCTCAAGAGGTACCTCTCCTGAGACTGCAGTACTCTAAGTACCACTCACACAGCTGCTCTGAGGAGAGGGCTCCTCCAGGTGTAGGACTCCCAGGCTCAGCACCTCCACACTCAGAACCCCCAGACTCCGGACTCCGCGGCTCAGCACCCCCAGGCCCAGCACCCCCAGGCTCAGTACCCCCAGGCTCAGCACCCCCAGGCTCCGCACCCCCAGGCTTCGCACCCCCGTGCTCAGCACCCCCAGGCTCCGCACCCCCAGGCCCCGCACCCGTAGCAGGACGAGAGTCGATAGCTACCTCAACAGGCTCAACCGGGTCTACCTGAGGCACACTTGAGGGAGCGGCACCCTTAGGAGGAGAAGCACTAGCACCAGTCCCAGCAGTACGCCTGGCTCAAGAGGTACCTCTCCTGAGGCTGCAGTACTCTAAGTACCACTCACGCAGCTGCTCCGAGGAGAGGGCTCCTCTAGGTGTAGGACTCCCAGGCTAAGCACCTCCAGACTCAGAACCCCCAGACTCCCGACTCTGCGGCTCAGCACCCCAAGACTCAGCACCCCCAGGCTCAGCACCCCCAGGCTCCGCACCCCCAGGCTCGGGACCCCCAGGCTCAGCACCCCCAGACTCCGCACCCCCAGGCTCAGCACCCCCAGACTCCGCACCCCCAGGCTCAGCACCCTTAGACTTCGCACCCCCAGGCTCAGCACCCCCAGGCTCCGCACCCGCAGTAGGGTGAGAGTCGACAGCTACCTCAACAGGCTCAACCGGGTCTACCTTAGACACACCTGAGGGAGCGGCACCCTGAGGGGGGAGGGGTTCTACGACAACAGCACCTGGCGCAAGGAAGAGAGGCGGGGGGGGGAGCGGGGCAGTGCGGTAGGGGAAGAGGCGGTAGTAGGGGACAGACTCGTCAAAAGTGACGTCCTGAGAGGGCAAGACTCGGCGCGAGGTGGCGTGGTAAAACCGCCAACCACGCGCGTCCGGGACAAAGCAGAGGAAGACGCAGGGAACAGCACGGGAGGAGAGCTTGTCCGCAGACGTATCGCGGACAAAAGCTTGAGATCCCCAGACCCGGAAACGCGACGCATCGCCAACTTCCCCTGTCCATAGTAGTGTGGGCAAGGTCTCCGACAAGGAGACACGGGGCCAGAGGTTGAGCTGATGCGCAGCGTACCGGACTGCAAACGGCCACAGAAAGTGGGGGGCAACCGCATGGATCAAGGAGGTACGAGCGACCTCCATGACCAGGCCAATGCGGCGCTCCGCAAACCCATTCTGCTGTGGTGAGGCTGGAAGCGTGAAAGACTGCTCAATGCCGTGCTCAACACAGTAGGCTGCTAAGAGGTAGGAGGAGAACTCACCACCTCTGTCAGAGTGCAAGCGCAGGACAGGAAAGTCCGAGTGGAAACGCTCGCTGAGCTGGAGACGGGCTCTGCGGATCCAAGGGATCAAGACATCAGGGACCTCAGGCTTGGTGCGCAAGGGGAAGACCGTGGTGTAGCGCGAGTAGTCGTCAACAACTATCAGGAAGTACCTCTCCTGACCCTGACCACGGACGCGGGCTGGGCCCCACACGTCCATGTGAAGCGTCTGCAAGGGAGCAGTCGACGGGGGAAACGAGGAGGAGTGAGGAGCGGCGCGCTGCCGCCCCTCGACACAAGGAAGACAGGGAGGAGCAGGTGAGGGAGGGAGGGGAGGAAGGACCCTGGGTAGGCCAGAGACAAGGTACCGGGAGTGCATGGCACGAAGCCACTGCACAGACGGGTGGCCAAGGCGGTGGTGCTAGAGGACAGTCTCGTGTGCCAGAGAGCGACACAAGCAGGGGGTGGACAGCTGACGTGATGCGGACGCAGACGCAGACGCAGCGACCTGAGGGGACTCAGTGGTCAGTGTGTACAGGTCCGACCCCGGCTGCCGAGTGAAGGTAGCCAAATGACGGCCCGTACGAGCACACGTACAGTGTGTCACGCGCTCGTAGGCAGGGGTGAACTGGTGAACACCCCCGTCCTGGAGCGCACATCCTGCCACCAGGTTCGTAGAGAACGAGGGGAGGTGGAAACTTGACAGTGTGCCCGACGGGACCGCAGGACAGGGAAGGACAGTGGAGGAGGTTGCAATGACCGGAACCCCAGAAGGGTCAGCAAGGGAGACAGCAACTGGGCAAAGAAAGAAGCAGCGAGAAGCACCTGAGTCCAGTGTGAAGGTGTGCAGTGCTGTAGTCGACTCAGTACCAGGGGGGGCAGACGCACAAGCACCTAGAGCAGCTGCCTCACCAGCACCTGGGGTAGCCGACACGCGAGTACCTGGAGTGGCAGACGCACTAGTCCTAATGCCCGGGTCGGGCGGCACACACAGGTACTCAGCACCCTCTCCACTAGTAGACATCACATACATAGCAGATAGAATAGCATCAAAGTCTAGAGCATAGATATCAATCCCCTTCTTAAGGAGATCAATCCAGCGGGGCAGCTCAGTGGCCTGAGGGAACTGAACACGCCAAGCGTCGTCGAGACGAGCGAAGCAGCGCTGTGTGGCGTGCGGTCGTCCACACTGTTGACTTGTGCAGTCACCAGTGCGAATGACGTACGTGCAGCTAAAGCCATCCCCCCCCCCCCCCCCCCCCGTGCTGAGAGTACCACTCACAGAACTTCTGGGGCGACGGAGTGTGCTGCTGGCCCTGGCCATCGCCAGCGCCTCCACGACCACCACCGCCGCCGCCACCTCCTCGACCACCCCAACCCCTGCCGCCGCCGCGTCCACCGCCACCCCCAGTACCGCCTCCGCCCCTGCCACCTCCCCCGCCGCTGCCGCCACCACCCCCACCGCTGCCACTAGCCCCTCCAGTCGCGCCACCACCCCCACCGCCTCCACCGACCCCACCACCGCCTCCCCCACCATCACCGCCACCACCCTTGCCCCCGTTGCCCCTGCCGCTGCGGCGCCTGCTCGAAGCAGACGCAGTAACGACCTTCTCAGCACCAAGGAGGTCGATAGCAGCAGCAGAGGGGATAGAGGGAAGAAGGGGGGAAGGAGAACACCCCTCAAAGAACGGGGTGCGGGGGTCGCCACGAGAGGCACCTACAGCTACGATGCTAGTCTCAGCTGCAAGCAGTTCCTTCTCGAGGAGGGCAATGGAGAGCTCAGTGGGGCAGCGAGCTAGGAAGTGATCCAGAGTGGGTTAGGGTGCGTGGCAAGGAACTCAGCGGGCATGGCGGCACGGAAGCGGGCCTCACTAGTATGGAGGTGCGTGATGAGGTCAGCGACTATGTGGAACGAGGCCAGGTCGGGAAACAGTTAGGGGAGGGAGAGACGGCCTAGCGCAGCAGAGGCAGGTGAGGAGTAGCCAGCAACGACAGCTGTGTACAGTGCCTGTGCAGTCTTGTGCTGGCCAAAGTGCTCGCGTTCATCTATCGGCAGGGAGTTGCGAATAGTGAAGCGAGCGTGAGCATCACGAGTCTGCCACTGTGAGAGGGCAGTGCTGTCAGCAGTAGCAGGAGGGGCAGTGACATGGCCTAAGGCGTGGTCGTATAGTGAGATGTCGTCCTTGGCTGTGAGCTGTAGATAGAGGTGCAGGTCATCTAGTCAGGTGTCAAACTTCACTGGGCGGCCCTCAGCATCGAAAACTAGAACCTGTGGGCTAGCCATAGGAGTAGTAGAAGTAGCAGTTTTAGGAGGAGGAGGAAGCAGGTAGGGCGGCTCGGTTCAGGTAGGGCGGCGCGGCTCGGGTGGGGCGGCGCGGTTCGGTTCGGGTCGCGCGGCTCGACTCGGGTCACGCGGCTCGGTTCGGTCCTGGGTTGTGGCGGTCACGGGCCGCTCGGGGCCTCTAGGGGCGGTGAGCGCGGGGCCGACGGGGCTGTTCGGGGCCTCTAGGGAGGTGAGCGCGGAGCCGTAAAGGGGCCTCTAGGGGCCGACGGGGCCGTTCGGGGCCTCTAGGGAGGTGAGCGCGGGGCCGACGGGGCCGTAAGGGGCCTCTAGGGAGGTGAGCGCGGGGCCGACGGGGTCGTTCGGGGCCTCTAGGGAGGTGAGCGCGGGGCCGACGGGGCCGTAAGGGGCCTCTAGGGAGGTGAGCGCGTGGCCGACGGGGCCGTTAGGGGCGTTCGCGGGGCCTAAAGGGGCCGCTAGGGGCGAGCACGTGGGCCGTTCGGGGCCTCTAGGGGCGAGCGCAGGGCCGTAAAGGGGCGAGCGCGGGGCCGTAAGGGGCAAGCGCGTGGGCCGACGGGGCCTTAAGGGGCGGGTCGCGGGGCCTTAGAGGGCCGTGAAAACCGAGGCGCCCTAGGGCGCAGGTAGGTAGTTAGGTAGGTAGGTAGCGGTGGGCCCTAAAAAAACGGTCCTAGGAAGGACCTGCTCTATACCATGTTAAAATGAACGAACAGGAATCAAATGAACTAAGAGTGAAAACAGTACAAGTACCCAACCCTAGAATTGTGTACCCCCTATAGGCTAACCCACTGTAGCCTAAACAAGCACAACAACATATATAATGTTTGACATCGATACAGTTCTTCAGGGTCACGCGCGAAGGGTGACCTAGGCGCTGATGCCAGATGGCGTCGTCGGCGCAGAATCCTGATGTGCGCATTTAGCGCTCCAGTGCGGCTGCGAGGTCTTCGTCAGGTGCCGGTGCAGGTGTAGGCGCTGTTCCCTCGTTCTCTTCTTCTTCCTCGTTCGCCGTCGTTAGCATGAGGGCGAGAAATTCTCTGTTGCGGATATTGGAGTAGGGGATGTTGGTTCCGAGGATTGTGCCAAGTGCGAACTCTACCGCCTTTTCCGCTATGTAGGGACGTGGATTGCCATGCGCATCGAAGGTGCCGACTCTGACACCGCGGAGCATTCCTTGGAGATGCTGAGACGCGGGTCCGGGAAGAGGATGTTCCAGAGTGCCGAAGACAACCCGTGTTGCTGTTTCCAGCTCCAGTTGGGAGAGTCCCTCTTCAGGCGGTGCATCGCGTTCTACTTCGCGGATGGCGGCGAGGCCGCAGCCAGCGATTGCGCTCGTCGAAGACGTGGGTGTGTGGCAGTCTCTACAGATGCCGTCAGGGTCGGGGTCGTGCAGCGCCAGTTCGGGCGGGTGTAGGTGGTGTGGCACCCAGGGGCGCCCATCAGGGTACTTCCAGTCGCGACGAAGGATGTGTTCGAATCGCAGAGCGACGAGGTCGATTAACTCCTGCGAGTTGCCGCTGCAGTCGGGAATGTCGAAGTCGAGAACGTATACGCCGTTCTTGGCGCGCCCGTCCGATCTGCTTGCGCTTCTTGTTCGGCATCGTGAAGTGGAGCAGGATGTCGTGCGTCTCGGGGTCAGTGCTGAGGATGACTCCGCAATCCAGGAGTTGCGCCGCCGAGAGTAAATTAAAGCACAGGTTCTGCACAATCAACACGTCATTGAGTGTGATGTGCGTTCGGCTCCCTCGTGCCTTGAGCACCACGATGCCTTGCGCGCTTGCGCGCAGCCGCGTGTTGTTCCCCACAGTTACGTAGGTGACGGCGGGGGTGGGGATGGCGTTGGATATGTAACGCTCAGAGCCCACCATGTGCTGCCCACAGCAGCTGTCCAGGTACCAGTTGTTGTAGCGCCTGTTGTCGTTTTGCGCGAGCAGCGCCAGTCGCGGAGTGACGATGTGTGGAGTGTCTACCTTCAAAAACTGTTTGCGTGCGATCCAGTCGATCGGTGCCGGCCGCATGTCAGGTACGTGCGGAGGGCTCTCAAGCAGCGGGACTGGTAGATTCCAGTCCTGGTTGTCGTCGTCGCTGTAGTCGTGACGCGTGCTGAACGGATTGTTGTTCGAGAACGCTTCGATTGGGGTAGGCGCCGGCTCGGGTGATAGTGAGCGTGCGCGCGGACGACGAGATCCACTGGTCATGGTCATGTTCCCCATGACGTTGAGGACGGAGGTGGCCTGTGATGGCTGCTGCTGCTGCTGACTTGTTCGGTTCAGGTTGCGCGATGGGGGTTGATACCCCTGAGCGGGACGCGTGTCGTTCCTCGCGTCTTGTCGGCCGGACCAGTTGCTTGGATTGGTCTGGCGAGGGCGAGATCAAAGCTTGCATCGATCCGCCAGGTGCCCGAAATTCCTGCAGATTTTGCAGTAAAGGCGCCGCGGCCGTCGCTCTTCTGTGTTGTCGGCAAAGAAGGCGAGGCGCTCCTTGTCTCGTCGCGGCGCTGGTCACTGCTGGTCCATATCCCTTTGTTCGACGAGAAGGGCGGCGCAAAGGGCAACCCCCTGCTGTCGGAGAAGCGCCTTGCAGGGCCGCCACTCTGGGCCGAGCCCTTGGAGCACAATGTTCACGAAGATCTCCTCAGATATCAAGCTCCCCAATTTCGCGATTTGATCGCGTAAGCTCCGACAGCGATTCAGGTAGCTGTTGGCCTTCTCTCCTGGTGCCATCTTCGTCTCCAGTAGCTGCCGGAGAAGGCGGCTCGACGACACTGAGTCCTTGGGTTGGTACACGCCGTTCAAGTGGCGCCAGGCGTTGAGGGCTGGAGCAGGGGAGGTCTTGTATGAGCGAATGGTCAATTGCTCCGTCGGCGACATGTTCCGGAGAAGAACCCCATACGCTATCAGGGACTCGTTGTAGTACTTGGTTTTTGCTGTTAGAGACTAAGGACGGAGTCTACGAAGATTGGGTGCCTAAAATTCTCAAAATCGTTGGCTTAAAATTCTGGACAGAAACGTCGACTTCACTAGAAACACCGTCGACGATAGGTACACTGTTAAAACTTCACCAACCTTAGTTATTATGTAGCTCTAGTCTGTGGCTACAATTCCCAATTTGAATTGTGCGATAAGGTGAAGTATTTCTTGAGTTATGAATTTCGGCGCACTAGGGGGTATGCTGCCATAGAATCTTAACTCAATCACAAAGTTCTCACACAAGTTCACAATAACTACACAAGAGAGTTAGAGTAGCAATAAACCAGGTGGGATGGGATGAGGAGGACGAGAGGGAAGGTCCCAAGACAGTCCCCAACCAAGGAAACCCCATGCCACACAATTCCCCTCTCCATAGGCAACCCCACTTTCACTTTTGTCACTTTCCCAACCCATGCAATCCACCTTAACCCAACTTGGCCACACTTGCCAACCTGGTTTGGTTTCTCCCAACCACTTGGCAGCAACTACCGTAGAACAGACGAATTTCCCAACCCCCAAAAGTCTGTACCCCATATTGAGTCAACCCCACAACTTCCCATAGTCACCACAACCAAATATCAAAAGCATACGAACTTCCAACGTTCGTAACTTTCTTGTTCGTGCTCTGATTGAAGCGATACTTGGTTCGTCGGAAAGCTCTTGAGCAAAGGAGTCACTTCAGATATCTGCTCAAGCCCAATAACATTTACACACACTCAGAAAAACCAAATCGCACAAAACACAAATTCTTGCACACGCTCACACCACGCATGCAGCGCACAAACATATGATCGGAGGCAGACAGACGTGAATGCAGATGATAGCATCACATAACAAACTGTTGGTGTAAGGGCCTAATAAACTCAAGCTATTAAGACTTTATCACACTTAAAACCTCTCCTCGGGGTCACCTCCAAGGGTCCTTGGGTGCCTGGTACAAGACCAGCCCCTATCCTCGGGTCCGAGTTTGTAGAGAGAGGAATCAAGAGGGACTTAGTCAAAACAGCAAGAGTACCTTGAACGTCGCGCAGCGTATCGTGCAGACCGTCGATCGGATTAAGCTGAGAATTTCCTATATCGAAGCTCACTCTAAGAGCTTTAAAATAAGCCAAGTTGCCTCGCGAAAAGTTCTGCCATTATGAAGTTATGGCTCGGACAGCGTTAGCCTAGCGTTGGAGTGCTAGCGTACTAGCGTTGACTCGGGTAGCATTCCGCCGTCGCACCGCGTAGACAAGAAATTCCAGCAAGGAAGGAATTCGCTTGAATCAA